TACCTTATTTACGATTCGCTCGGCCATTATCTCCCGGCAACAAAGTGAACCAGCCGGTTTTTCGATACGATCCTGGCGTGCACGGTTCCCTCACACGTACACACACACACACACACACATACGTTTACACACAGAGAGAGAGAGAGAGAGAGACGTGCTTCTTCATTGATTTCGTTGGTGTGAAAGGGGAATCGGGCAGACAATGAATACAAAGGCCGCGGTTACATAGAAACCAGAAAGGGGGAGAGGAGGCCAGAAGCGTGTGCTCTCTCGTAGACGCCTCGGGAACGGAAGACTTTTGTCTTCTCTCGTTAATAACAGTTTTGACAGAGAACGGTGAAACTGCGCACGGATGATTGGACGGCCCTCTACCGTGGCCGGGGCAAAGGATAAATTATTGAAAAATTGATTTTTACGATTACGAATCGTCCTTTTGATCAGCGGCCGCGCGGAGCATTGACGCGTGGCGGCTCATCTTGCGCGCGCGCGCGCGTACAAGCGAGTGAACAGATTGCGTTTCACCCGTGTGCTTGAGCGCACCGGTGGATATGTGTGAATTGTTAAGCTCAAAGAGTAAAATCCGATGGTCCCGTCAAAGAACCGTCGAAAAAAAAAAAAAGTGGGGGTATGTAATTAAAAGATGGGGAAGGCAGAACGGGCAAAAATGGATGCGTCCACGCACACTGGCGGACGTTTGTTCGGAACTGTATTAGGTTGTTGCAAAAGTTCTGAATTTTTTCCATGATAATTTTGGTCAAACTGGACAATACCCACCGGATTGACAAAACGTTTTTTTTTAGTGTTTATTGATAATCGTGGATGACTGACGCAGATTCAAGTATGTTGTTTGCGTCGGTGTCTCTATATTTGTATGTGTAAAATAGTAGTGAGATGTTTTGCGTACTTTTGCCCCACATAGTAATTGAATTTATAAAAGCGTTTGTGCTTTACACTATTTCTGTAAAGGTTTATGCTTTTAACAGACTATCACGAGCAAAGTCGGCTTCTGGTAGGGGAAAAAGTGACGTGGGAAAAGAGCCTCTTACCATTTGGTAAATTTCAAGTACTGAGATAAATGTTAAATCGAATATTAATTTGGCATAGATTTTAATAATTCCTGATACCAAGTGGTAGGAAGCCCTTTTACGCCATTTTTTCCCCTAGTGGGAGCAGAATTTGCTCGTGGGTATATGTGGTTGATTTCTCAGGAAGCATGAAACTTTCCTTTTTCATCTTTTGAAAAAACTAGTATACGGAATTTATGCAGCAATCGAATTTTTGAGGATATTGTGCAGGGTGGCTTTCGTTAGAGTGATTTTCGATGATGGAAGAAATTTTTCTGGTAAGCCGATTGTTCAGTTTGAAAGATATTGAAACGATTCTATTTTGGAGAATATATTTATTTTTGTTGGGTACACGAGAAAGAATTGAAAGATTCCCGTGGGTTTTAAGCGAGTCTCTGGCTATTGTAATATGAATGTGAACCAACTATTTAGGGAAACGACGAAGTCGAAATAAACGGAGCCGTTTCGATGCATAAAAATCTAGTGACATATGACCTGATTGTATCCTCTAAGTTTGGAACTCGTGGTTGAAGCTTCGGATTGGATACTGGCGAACCTTCATTTACGTCACAGTGCTGTCTTGCGATATTTTAAAGTGACAATTTATTGGAGAAGATTGAAGAACTTTCAGAAGTAATATATAATATTCGGTTTCGCGTATAATTTTGTGGTATTCAGAAATCGTTACTTTTCACTGTCAGAAAATCTTGAAGTTCTTAAAAATTGGATTAGAGTAAAAATAAAGATAGATCAGAAGACTTCAAACGATTTTTACTTAACTTCCTTTTTTTACATTTATTCTTTATAGTCAATTACGGTATCTTTTTTAACACTACATAATTTTTTCAAGGCGCTCATTTCAGTGCGATATATATATAAAAAAACTATTAAAAGTTTCGAAAAAAACTTTGCTTACGCTCTCAATTATCATTAAATAGCCAACATTTCACTTATGTTGAACATTTCGTCCACTAAAAAACAATTCCCAAAAAATTACAAGGCCCCTTAACGAATAGACTCCCTAAACATTTTTCCAGATGTCCTAAAAAAAGTAGTTTCGCGCTGGGACAAGTGTATGCAGTTAAACGGAAATTATATGAAAACATTACAATATAATATCGACGAAAATGAAGAAACTGAACAATTTCTAGCGCCATTCCCAGAACTTTGGAAACACCTCTCGTATATTCGATTCGATATCGGGAATTATCGTCGACAGTGAAAAGCTGACAGAGGATAAAGCAGCGCGAGAATTTTCATGGAAAACTAGTCTTCGTCGTCGTCGTCGGTGGCCGTATCACATAACGGATGTGTGTACGGCTGTCGGGTTAACCATCGGAACAACAACCTGTTCGATGACTGTTCCATTTGATGATTGCAACAAGTGAGGCAAACCGGCGTGTGTCCTCTTCCTACTCCCCCCCCCCTTTCCACGGGTGCCTGTTCTCAAACCATTTTACCACCGACAACCACTCGCCCGTTTCGAATTCAACAAGTGGCCAAATCATTCTCTGCTGCCAGAGAGAGAGATAGAGCGAGAGAGGACCGCAGCCGCGTATTTCCCCCGAAAAACTGGGAATTTTCCAGCCGTGCACAGTCATTGACCATTCATTTAACGCCGTCCGGCTGCCCGGGGGGCAATATTTCTCTTTATCGGCGGTCGTAGGCCAGGGGACGACGGGGGATTTTGTCATTCGACACGGGAATTCCCTCTCGTTTTCACGCTGATGCGCGGATATTGACGCTCGATGACGCCCCCCTCACGAGCGTCCCGTTAAGCGTATCGGATTAATGATCTGATTGCTAGAGGGATTCCTGTATTTCCGTTTGTTTTGTCCGCGAAAACGCTTCCAAAGGGTCGATGAAGCGTCACGAACAAAGGCTAACAATGAACAGAATTTTTTTTTTTTAAAGAACCAGTCGCGAACGCTTGTACACCTATGAGCAAACTCTGCTTCCGCCAGAGAAAAAAGTGGCGTTGGAGAAGGGCCTCCGAAAATTTGGTATCGAGAATTATTGCAATTTATACCAAATTAACATTCGATTTAACATTTATTACAGTACTTGAAATAAATTTACTAAGTAGTAGGAGGCCTTTCTCTTACGCCACTTTTTCCCCTAGCGGAAGACGAGATTGCTCACCGATGTACAACCATAAATGGTTGCTGCGAGATTGGTGTAAAAGAGAATTTAGAATTTCGTGATATTCTTGGACGACCAAACATCGCTGTACACCTAATTGACTTCGATTCACTCTATGAATAATTACAACCGGGTTGCTATGCCCCAAACAATTTACCCACTAAATTAGTAAAAAAATCCACGATTTCTCTGAACCGCATCATAATTTCATTAGACCGCGGATGGAGTAAGAGTGGTAAACTAAAACGAAAGGGAACAAAATAATTTATCCTCCCGTAAAATCAGTTTAAGAGGGTGGGGAAGGGGGAGCATACACACAAGTGGAGATCGGTTGCTCTTAATACATCCCCGACGAGCACGTTTCGAGTGCACTCGGTGAAATTCGATTGACATGACCGCGGTATGGTCGGTGTGTAACGTAATCATTACTGTCATCCGAAAGCCTCGATCCTTTTCTCCGTAATTTGAAGCGGCGAGGAGGAGGAGGGACGGGCAAGGGTATACGCGACTGAAGAACCCGTAGACTCTCCGAGACCTCGTGCTACCTGGTGGAATGGGTCTCATTAAGGACGCCTTCATGGCCCTTCATCCTTGCCTCTTCAGGCCTCGGTTCCTCCCTTCCTCTCAACGGCCCCCACGGAGACGCTCGTCTTTTATACCTGGATGCCCTCCGTCTCGCGTTTCTCTCCCGCGTGTTCGCCGCTAGCTAGCTAGCTCGCCCGTTCGTTCGTTCGGTTTGCTTCGTGTTTGCTCCTCGCGCGCCTTATGCGGCCCCCCGAAGGCCATTTGATGCTGCCTGGGTTGCTTGTCATCTTCGACTTTAACCTCGTTACGGTTTACAGGCGTGTGTGTGTTCCTGAAAACGGGCCGAAGGAACGCGATACCGCAGCCGTTGGTCCGTTTGCTGCGGTTTTTTTCCCTTTTAAATTCGGATTTGTTTGGATTTATTCGCGGCTAGGCGAACCTCCTCTCATCCACCTCCGGGCTCAGGTGTAACGCGACCTACGCTGCTGCCTCGGTCTCCCGTGTAACGAGATTCCCGCGTTTTTTCTTGCAACGCCCTTAACGAGGTTTTTTCCCGCCGTGTTTTGTCCTGATCCTGCAGCATCGACGTTATCGTTCGGGTTGCATAATTTGCAAGGGACAGAGTGATCGTGGCTGTTGGAGCTAGGGGCGTTGGATACCTTGAGACTTTAATTTCGTTTTTACTAATTTTGTAATATTCTATGTACCTTTTGTTCTATGTACTCTTCAAGAGGTTAAGGTCTGCGATGCGTAAGTATGTTAATGATTATACAAAGAAATATTCTTGGTCTCTACGATAAAGACAAGGTACAAATTCATAACCTATTATTTAAACCTTACAGGGATGTCAGTTATTAACCTAAAATCGTGTATATCTTCACCTAACCTATAAACCGAACATGGCGGCCATATTGCCTCCGACGTGACTATTCGATTACACACGCGTTTTCAGTAGTACATCGCCTTGACTTTGTTTATTCCAGCATTAATTTTCCATCACCCAATTCCAAGGAGAACACATTTCACGGCTAATTTGAAAACGTATAGATCCGACTGAACTGGAGCTCTCAGATTCATTTGTGAATCTGCTTAGGAGATCGCGAGGTTCGACCATATCGCATCTACGTTCCGGCCGATCTATTTTCCGTTCTTTGTGACGGCCGCTTTGTCCCGTATGCTAATCGAATTCCCTCCTCCCTTCCTCTTTCTCTCTGACACTAGTGAACACACGTACACACACATATATATATATATTTTTTTCTGTTCCAGGGTGGCGGAGGAAGCGGCGGGGCTGCGGGAGGGCTGAAATTCACGGTGGCTGACACTTGCGAGAGGATCAAAGAGGAATTCAATTTCATCCAGCAACAGAACCACTCGTGAGTCTTTCTCGTTTCTTCGACCTCCCTCTCCGCGCTCCGTCTTTGTTTTCCTTTCCACGATCTTTTCCCCCTTCCCTTCGCCTGTCTCTCGTCTTCTCTGAGCGCCTCGAAGATCCACGATTATTGACGCAACCGACGTTTCCCCGGTCCTTTCCTCGCTTCCGTTACCATCCTGTGTTTCGTTGCTCCCGCGTCCTCCCGTTAACGCCGCGATCCTCTCCCCCACCCCACCGACACCAGATCGCTTCGAGCTCTGTTGCCACGGAGTGGAAAGTTCGAATTGTTTGCTCGAACGCCTCCTCACTCTTAATAACGCGACGACTGGCGTCCTACGCGGTCGGATCGAACGGTTTTCGCGGGAAACACGAGGGGTAACGAGGCACCGAGTGAAAGTCGACAGGGGGAGTGATGACGAAGGTTGACTCGTCACTGGTCGTCTTTGTGGCAGGATACCCTGTTGTCAGTTGACAACTTGCTACTAGGTTTTCGGGTTTGTTTCGATCCAATCACGTTCCTTTTAACCCGTTAACTGCATTTGTCCACTACAGTAAACGTCTACTTTGTCACTTTAGTGACAATTTGGAATATTTTCTGACGTTCGACAGTTAGTTAAATGAAATCCAAACGATAGAAAAACGGTGTTACTGTGACTACTACTGTTCGTTATTTATTGTGAGATATTGTTTGTAAAAAAAATTGTCTTTTGATTGTTGATACTAGATTTTATGAGAAGAAAAATTGTTGTACAAGATAGCAAAAAGATGCAGTCAGTTGGTTAATATGTTCGCTGCTAGACGTCGACGGTGTGTCGATGGGTGTCTGATATCCGACCTATTACCGATTAATGCCCGATTACCCAGTGGTTTTCTGTTGGGTAATGATTACCTGTCGGTACATCGAACAGCTTTTCTGCCACTTCATCTTTGTGTGACGGTTACATGACGGGTACCAGACTGTTGCACGGTGTTACTTGACGGTTATTTAACGCTTACGGTATGATTACTTGATGCTTGGTTGACGGTTATGTAACGATTACACGATGATTTCTTGACGCTTACTTGACAGTTATCTAATAGTTCTATGATAGTAATATCATCTGATGGTTTCCTGTCGGTTACCAGACAGTCCTCTTGAGCCTCCATTATGGAACCCCCTCAGTACTGGGGATAAAACAGGAGTATTTAACGTAGAGATCTCTCCGCGCAGTTATCGAGACTTTATCTAATTCACAGCCACGTGACGATTACATGCAGAAATTCAACCTGAATACCGTCACGTCAAACGGAAAACACGAATAGTCTCGATAGAAAACGGCCACAATGACGACGGTACATAACGGCGATTTATGCTAATTGATTAACAGGGCCCGGACGGTAATTAATTGCCGTTGTGGCAAGTTATATATTCGGATGCAGCTGATGCCTGCAACGCGGTTAGCGTTATTGGCGGCGACGCTCACTTTCCAGCGGGCCGTTGAAATAGGGATCGGTGTGTACAAATGTCTGCGTTTACGTATCATTAATTATCTTGCGCGGCCGCGATAGGCACCGTCGAAACGCGTCGGATCAACGGACGAATTTGCGTTTCGTTGTTAACGCCGCTGCTACATTTTAGCCTGGCGACGCGAGCGGTGGTCAAGATTATTTCTGTCCGCAGTTGGTCCGCGACGAGTTTCGGCGATGATTGCTGCGAACTGTGCGCGTTGTTTGTTCATCTTCTCCACTGCTGGCCTAATTGTTAGAGTATATACACGGTGAGTCGATAAGAACTACTATCTAAAATATGTCGTTACCTATTGACTGTATCGCAAAATGTTTTAATGTATTATGTAGCATTTTAAGGGATGCAGCGGTTGGATACAATTTGAGTTTTTTATATCTTATTCTTTTTTTATATATCAAGGTGACCTTGAGTTTTTTCTCAAGGTCACCTTGATTTTTAAAAAGAAATAAGATGTAATGAAACTAAATTGTATCCATCCGATGCGTCCCTTAAAATGCTATATAATTTATTAAAGCGTTTCTTGATACAACTAATACGTAATGAGTTACTTTAGATAATAGTTCTTATTGACTCACCTGTACAATATGCACGTGATTCCCGAATGGTGGTCATGGTAACTTATGGATTGATTAATCAATGTAATCAATAGTTTCTCCTCTATCTGAAATTCCACAGAGAATTTCGATCTTCTGTTCTCAAACGGAAACCCTAAAGCTAAGATGTCGAGCTTAGTAGAGTATCGCAGAATAGAAACGATCCTCTGGAGGACTCTCGACGCGAAAATTCTGAACTAATGACTGCAGGGCGGGCTTTTCAGTGTCCGTTAATATTGTCCACGTGATTTTCCTTGACGTACATTATTCGATACGTATTTGTCGGAATGCGATATATCCTCCTCCCTCGCCAATAACTTCCTTCCTTTTTTTTTTTTTGCATTTTTCGACGACGAAGTCGGCCGGAGCAACCGCTAACGTTGCCATAATCTCGTTTCCTTTGGGTTCCGTCGACTTTTCCGCCGGAGAACTCGATCTTACTTCCAGAAACAGACCGCGCTCTTCGAATTCGAGATGCTGCGAATCCCAGAGGAGAACGCAGCCTCCCTGTACGCCCTCCTCGCATCTGCATGCACACAAACACGTACATATAAGCGTGCATTGTACAGGGTATTCATCGTGCAGTGTTCACGATTTTTGAGGTATAGATTCACCAAGTGAATAGGCTTGCAAATTAAAGGGAAAATTGCTGTTTGCTTTAACAATGAATTTGGTTGAAGTGACGATAGATCGATGCTCCGTTGGATCGACGTTTCATTGATCTATTTAGAAGATCGTCAATGAAAAAATTTACTAGACTTTTCATCGAGACAAAATTTTTCTAACATATAGCTGATTAATTAAAAACTGATGAACTTTTGTTTAACCCTTGTGTAGGAAACCGTGTACCCATTTCTAAATTTCTTTTCACAATTCATTATATTCTTGTCTAAAACAGCACCTGATATATTATAGGAAGGGAAAACTAAGAGTTTCCGAACAGTATGAAAGTAAAATTCTCTATGCATATCTAATCTGTCAGAATAGGAGTATTCCGATTGCCGAACATTTTGGTTGCCCACACAAGGGTTAAAACACTTCCCGATCAAATTACCAGAAGTGCTCGGAAGATCGTGGTAACTGTTACGTGGAACACCCTGTATGGTGGACCCTGTTCGTTTTCAGGTAAATGTCGAAAGAATCGTGGATATTCTAACAATGAACAACCCTGTACAGAGGAAACCTACGCGACACACGCGCGAGCACCATTTCCGCTTTAACGCACGTCCGACTCGTCCTGAATCGCTTTTCACTTTTGCAGACTGAAGATCGAATGCGAGAAGCTGGCCAGCGAGAAGACCGAGATACAGAGGCATTACTTCATGGTAAGGCATTTTCTAACATCGTCGTTCCTTGCGTCTTTTCATCTTGCCTCTCGGAACGTGCCCTCCCCCGCGTCGCCGGTCGAGGAAGATCGAGGGAATCGCAAACAGTCGAGGGGACGGAACTCGATTGGCTCGAATAGAAGCACTCCATTATCCGGGTGTACACTTGACAACCCATAAATTCGCGGTCGTGTCTAGTTTCTACGCTACTGAATTTTAGTCTTCGAATCGTGGTCGTGATTTTTCAAAATCCCTTCCGTTTTGACTTGGACATTTTTTTTTTGTTACGATTTTTTGTTTAAACTCTCCTGGTCGGGAGTGTTTCTCTGAATATTCCTCGAACGTGTTTCTTTTCTTGGCGCTCTGACAGGATGAAAAGACTGTAGTTGGTAGTAGAAACTTTTTGATTCGTGATATGAGATTGGTGGGAAATAAATAGTCGTCATATGTGGCTGTAGGCCCTAATTATATTTGTTTCGTTCGTTGTTTTACGATAAAGTTCAGTTTTTATTTAAAGATTGTGTCACGTGTATGTGGGTGACGTGACAGTCAAGGTGTTAATCGTTATCACCAAAGAAATTCTACATAGTTCGCAGCTATAACACAGACACTGGTTATTTATTTTTCACCAACCTAATAGAAATTGTCGATAAATGAAATAGTGTAAAATTAAACAATTTCACGTGATATCTCCCTCGAAACGAGGTTCAGCATACAGTAAGTTTTCGAAACTAGTGATTCTACATGGAAGAATAACTCGAAAATTTAGAATAACACATTTTTATGTCTCATTCAACATGTTTAAGAAATTAATAAGTAATAACGTTACTGTACTAACATTGCTACTGAACAACCAGAACGGAACAGTATAAATACAAGAACAGTAAATACAGCGAAAATAAGAACAAAGTAAGAATTTGAAAAATAAGAAGTTCTTATCTCTAGTAGATCAGTGTTAATCCATAAACATTGGAAACGTTGTTCACCATGCGTGCGTCTGTCGTGAATTCTTCGATGAACCTGCAATCATAAATATGCCGGTGATTATAAAAGTGGCCGAAGTCAATGAAATATTCTGCAAAAATGCTATCATAATATTGTAACATAAATCGACGTAATACCAAACAACTGATACCTACTTTCAATTTTTGTAGATTTTTTACTTAAACCACTTTCGTAATTACCGACGCATATCCGAGGTGTCAGGATTTCCAAGCAATCGGGGGTTATGGGGTCCCATTATTGAATTCGGTAATCTTTATCACGGCCCCCTCCGCCGTGGAATAGAGAGAAAAACGATCGATATTGTTCTCCCCGTTTCATATTGCCGGCTCGTCGATTCACTTCCCATCAGCGCGGAGGCAATTAGCTCGACCAACCGTACTAATCGTATCGTCATCCGTAAGGAGCTTAACTTGGACTTACCTATATTAAAGTGCGGCATTAACCGTGGACCCCGAAGCATTCGCCGGGGTCGAGATCGTTTTATTTCCCCGGCTGGTTTATTAAATATTTATCCAACAACCGGGCCAGCAGTCCGACCGCCCGTCTCGCGGAAACTCCTCGCGAGACGAACTTCCGGGAACACGCTTTAAAAATCTCTACCGCGCGTCCGTGCCACGGTCTCGCGGTTTAATTTGAATCTCTGGTCCGAGGAGCAACCGTCCGTGCAAACAGATCTGTATTTTTCTTTCTATCGTTCGCTGTCGTGACCAGTGGTCCCGTCTCTCGCGCTTCCGGTTCAGTCGAACAACCTTCGCAAAAAAGGTCGTTCGTCGTCGAGGAATCATCTTTTACGAAGACCTTTTACTGACTTCAAGACTTTCGCTGAATTCTAGATTTTTATTGAATGTTAGAGTTTCGCTGAACTCCAGATTTTGAATTTAATTACTCCAGATTTTGATCAAGTTGAATTCTAGATTTAACATGGAATTCTTGATTTTCACGGAATTTTAGATTTTCCACGGTATTCTGGATTTTTGCGGAATTTTAGATTTTCCACGGAATTCTAGAGTTTCACGGAATTTTACATTTTCCGTGGAATTCTAGAGTTTTACGGAATTCTATACTTTGATTGAATTCCAGCTTTTTACCACGGAATTCTTGACATTCCACGGTACTCTGTACTTTCACGGAATGCTAGATTTTCCACGGAATTCGAGACTACGTCGTGTGAAGCATAAACTAGCTTCCGAAAACGGAGAACTTGAATAGCTGAAGCGAAATTGAAAATTTGGGAAGTGGTGAGACCGTTTAGTCGTTATACCTTAAAGTAACTTTAAGGTTTTTTTTTTCGTATACTTTAATTGAATAATATCTATATCTTTGCCATTTACAAAGCGTATAATAAGTATTTACGATCGCTGCAGTCGTAAAATTGGACACGAATATATTGTAGATCACTGAAATATGAAGTGATTGCAATAAAATTGAATCCACATCGCCCGTTGGATCGCAAGTGCTTAATAAGGCTTCTGAGAACGAACGAATGATAGACAGGAATCCGCTAATAAATTTTACGATCGCGATAGCAAATTACTTCTCCCGATACATTCGTGTGTCTGTGCGTAGAATTCATGATTCTTTCATTTGGGGAAAATTTGATGTAGGACCTCGCTTTCATCACGAAATACATACCGGCAGGGCTGCTGGTAAAAAGAGAACCGCGTCGACGCGGTTTGCTGTGGAATTCGTCGATACAGCACGTCCCTTTGAGATATTGGCGTGTATCGATGCTATATTCGAAAGCTCCATGCATCTTCGTGGTTTTTCTCTCGGAAGACAATTCGTCTTCCTTGTCGCGTATACGTCTTGGGATCGATGCGCCTGCGAACCGCGAACGAACACAATCGCAGTTTCTACGAGGGGTGTTTCCATAGTTCTAGGAATTTTGTTATAAATGGTTTATTTTATTAAATTTTCGTCCTTATTACATTGTAAGTTTTCAGTATAATTTCCGTTTAACTGATAGATACTTTTAGGTCGACTAAGAAAACATTTCGGCAGTCCTTGTAGAGGTTTTTTTTAATTTTGAAAAATACATTGTCACAAAAAAAAATAGAGCGGAATTCAATCGAAAAATTTCGTGAATTTCGAGATATACAGACCACAATTTACAATTTCTCACAAAATTATACACGCTCGATATGTATAACATGTTTTACATATTTAACCAATACTGCCCTCCTTGCTTAAAATATCCAACCTAACAAAATATCGTTTTCCAAGATTTTTCGAAATATTTAGAGCTCTATACAGTTTTCAGTTTTTATTTAAAGCTAGAATACCCTTCGTTCTTTTTAGGGTTCCAGAAACAGTCGAATTTATTTGTCCTACCTGGTTTTCAAACAATTCCACTAGATTATATTCTATGTAACATCTACTAACTTAGATAGTCCTGAGTTATAACTTACGTTTATGCCTCAATTATTTATGTTAGAGATACGTGTAAAAAAATAAATATGATTTAAACCGTATCCTACATTAAAATGGCCCACGATGAAAAACAAGGACGACGCAAAGGAAATTATAAAACTTTATTTTTCTCGGGTTTCTGAGTATGTCAGGAATTAGCACAATATTGCAATTTACAAGCATGCAGTGGGCGGACACTCGTGCGAGTCCCCTTTAATCGACTAACACGGTGTCAGTGTGATAATAAGCATTAGTGTCTTTCAGAATTACCATCGATTCGATCTGATTCCACGTGTACTAACACAAGTGACTTCCAAACGCATCGTTCACTCCCCATACGTTCAGCACGCGAAGAAAAAGGAATCAGGTCGTTCGTTCGACTCGCCCGTATAAATTCCCCGAGATATTTGAGAACGTGTTCTTACGGCGGCCGTTATGCAATTCTGTAAACTGGCCCGGACGGTACACGAAAAACGTGCATCCTCGCGCCATAAGGGTCAACAACCCTGCCCCGGGTTCTCCGCCTTGTCTGTACACGGATCCGTGAAACGAAGAATCCCTCGGCCTCAACAGTCTTCTTTCTCGTTACACCAAAGGTGTGTGGCAATCTTTCGTGTCACGTGATCGTCCATAAACTCACCTGTTCTCTAATTATACAGGGTAAATGTTCCAATTACTGCCACTCTCCCTATGGTTAAATTATAATAAGGGACGAGAAGATCCTATAGAGTTTTACAGAATTATAGATTTATGTAATCTAAGACTTTTATTAAATAGCAAATTTGTAATAGCAACCATACATTTCCGAATTGATATTTCAAACTTCTGCTTACTATATTTCATCAAAAGTACACGGTATTTAGTCTCTGCCACCTCCTACTTAATAGTAATTAGTGTACGTATATATATTTATCAATAAAATTTATATAATTACAATCATTGTTTCACCGGCACATGGGCATTAGTTTATGAAATATTTAATGTCCAGTGCTGCGAAGCCTTCGAGCACTCATCGAGGATTTACTGTATTAGTAAGAACTGAACTGCAGCTATGACCCACTCCGAATTTTCCATTGCGCAGTACTAAAGATACTCGAGTGTCTTCAAATTACAGTTTCGTCTTCCGAAACGGGGGTACCTTTACAACTTAATGGTTTTACGAGGACCCACTATCGTGCCCGTCAGCATTATCTATAAGGAACCAACAAATTCGAGAAAGAAGAAAAAGCAAAGAAGATGATATACAATCGCGATCATCGATCCGAAAGGTCGGAACAGTTGCACGCGATACGGCTTCCATCGCAATCCCGTCATCCCCACCCATCCCTTGTTCCTTCTCCCTCCACTCCTGTTCCCCAACCTCGCGAGATCCTGCGCCGATGTTAACTGTACGTTTGATCGTAATTGTCGCGAACTGTACCATCTCTGTAAACTGCTACACCGATGTGACACCGTGCAAGCAACCAAGCAGCAAGCTGGGGGCCGAGTGGTTGGGGCTTTGGTGGGTGCCAGTGGGAGTGGTTAAGAGGGGGGAGGTGACGGAGGGGTTGGGGAGGGGTGGTGGAGGAGGAGTTGAGCCGGTAATC